ATATATATATATATATGTAATATACATATATAGAGTGTCCCACAATTTGTAACTTAAAATCTAGCAAGAAAGTTTTTAGAAAATTTAGTATATATGATGAGCACGCCTTCAGTTTACTCACAGGTGACTATCTAAACGTAGTTTGTAATTAATCATATTTAAATTCTAATTATCTGAAAAAATAACTTAACGCTTAATTATATTTAAAATAACAATTTATTGTGTTTACAAATAACTTTTTATTTAATTTTTTGAGAACTCTTTTGTTGTAATATTTTAAATCGCGGATTTTAAGGCATTCTGTAGAATATAGTAGTTACAGCAAAATTTTAATAAATCCAAAACCATGTATTGGACTATGAATCTTGAATAGAATCTTATACATAAAATCCTACGCTAGCACTCCGTAAGCATAATTGGCACGGACAAGCAAGTAAGTAAAATAACAGATACACACGAAAGCTGTCCTTTATCTTTTTAAAAATCTATTCAGTGCAATCGAATGTTGTATAATAAAATCCCATTCTGTGAACGCATCTTTGTTGTGAATTAAAAGCTCGTAAAATAAACTCCTGTCTATTTTCTCATTTCTTATTATTTGTTTTCATATTTAAAATAAAATTGAATATAGAAGGGAAAGTTCATAATATAAAGACATCATTTATTATAGTTTCGACGAATTCATAATAGGTACGAGTCATAATAAAACATAATAGTAAAATTTATTGAAATAATAATAAATAAAAGGCAATATTTTTCTCGCTTATATACCTAAATTATAATCTTTTTATGCCGCATGGATTGTATTTAAATTTATTTAAAGATATGTATTACACATACCGTTTTACCAAAACGAAAAAATTATGAAAAAATTACATTTTTATATTATATTTGGAAATAATACAATAAATTTAGCAGTGATCTAGAGACTTGAATAAAAAATTATTTCAATAAGTAGTAGTTATATTATATAAAAGTAGATAGAAATTTTATTTAAATTATAAAATTGATTTATTAAATATAAATATTGACCTTTTTCTTTAAATATTTTATATGCATATAATATTTATTTTTGTACATAGAGTATAAATTTTCAATTTAAATTTTTACAGATCAATGATGCTTTCTAATATTTCCTTAAATATTAATTGCAATATTTATTATTGAAAGGACATTATTATACAATATATTCATTATCAATTATTTTCAGGACAACAAGTACAACAATCAACGCTACCAACGGAAATTTCGCCCGCTGTCGATGTGATATCGCCTCTGAAAGATCCGTCAATCTACGAGAGGCGTCAGATGACACCAACAGATGGTTCCGTGAGGTCAGATGAGGGTTACCATTCAAATGGCTATCATGACGAGATTTTGACACCACCTGAGGAAAGCAGTGAGTCCGATAGTGAGAACAACTACGTGTTGGATTTCAGTAAAAATGCCAAATCGTCAGTGTGCAACGATGAGATTCTGAAGCAGGACAACACCGTGGCGAAGAACGAATATAGGAAAGTTAAGATCAAAATTTCCAAGACCTACGGTAACTTCCAGGCGACGAAGGGTATAACTGACGGCCCTACGAAGGATAAGGACCAGGAGTTGTCTAGCCGAGCAGTCACTCCAGAACTCCAAAAGCCGGTATCACCAATCATTCTGCAGAAAAGCACGGTTCTATCGACTGTGACCGAAGATGAGATATCCGAGAAGAACATGAAACCCTTTTACGAGCCGGAAGTCAAAGGTGGTAATCTGCCAATGTCTGGCAGATCCACCTATATAGCCAATCCCAGTAGTTCCATTCTGGAGAACATTCTGCTACGTAACAGCACAGACAACAACAACAATAGCCACAATCATCATCATAATAGCGGCTCGCAACAACACCATCAGCATCATCAACTGCATCATCAAACTCATGTAGACTCAGTGACGCCACCTCCCTCCAGTCCCACCGAGATGGCATATTCTTACAAGAAGTCTCATCGTTATGGAAACATTTTACCCTGCAGCCCGGATTCTAGTTCGAATCTGCCCCTACAAACGGACTCGTGTGTGAATTCGACCAGCGGCAACGGTGGTGCGCTATCTAGCATGCAGAGTCCCACCGGTAATCTGCACTCCAGCACAGGAGGAGGGCTGCATTCGAGCACTGCTGGAAACAACGGCAGCTTACCGCCGCATCCGGGAAGTTTGCACTCGTCTAGCAACACCGGCGGCGGCATACATTCCAGCACGAGCGTGCTCTCGTCTAGCGCGATGCTAACGTCTACCAGCCCGCATTCGGCATCCACAACGGCAAACGGTTGTCCGCTCAAGCGGAAGACCAAATCGCCGTCGCCATCGTCAAGTCAGAATGGTGTATCTACTCCAACAACGATCCTTTATTCGGGCAGCTCCGGGACCGCCGCTGGCTGTCAGATCGAGTCCGCCAGTCCGGTTTACCCGAACTCCGCCGGCAGTAGCAGTAGCAGCACCAGCAGCAATCAGAGCATCTCGCCGATTTCGCCTATTCAATCGCCCTCATCCTACAGTCCGTACGGTAGTCTGTACGGCCACCAGAATAGTTCGTTGCATCACAACATGGGCTCGTCGTTGTCTATCAACTGCACCGCTTATTCGCCCACGCCGAGCGGCAATGTCGTTTACGAGAGGACGACGGATGGCAGACGGTTAGAAGCCACCAGCAGCGGCGGTCATCAATTGCCCACCTCCTCAACTATGCAAATTGATGGCAACCAAGCGTTGATCACCGGCACACACAATCTTCACCTCGGTCATCACCCAGGTCTTACCATTCATCCAAACTCCTCGTCATCACTCAACAGATACTCACCGGCAAGCTCTTTATCACCGGACGATCATGGTTGTTCCCAGAGCGGCTCCCTCAGCCCCAATTCTCAGGGCTCGAGGGGTTATAGATCGCTGCCTTATCCGCTCAAGAAAAAAGACGGCAAAATGCATTACGAGTGCAACGTCTGTTGCAAAACCTTTGGTCAGCTATCAAATCTCAAGGTACACTTGAGGACGCATTCTGGCGAAAGACCCTTCAAATGCAATGTTTGTACCAAAAGCTTCACGCAACTCGCGCATCTCCAGAAGCATCATCTCGTTCATACCGGTAAGCTAATACGAGTATTAACTATTAATTGATATAAATCTCGATGTGATTGTCAAAGTAAGTCAATGTGCTCTTTGTTTCCTACTTTTCTTGCTTTTTATACCTTTTGCTTCCTTTCCTCTTTGCAACCATTTTATTGACAATTACATTTCTTGCTACATATTTCTTGTTTTTTCCTATCTTAATTTTTGTCTCGGGCGATAGAAAACGAAGAACAAGATAAGAAGTAAACAGACATGTGAAAAATAGCGAAAAGCAAGAAACAGGAAACAAAAAGCACATTGTAAAATGAGCTTAACCAGGAGGAGAAAACTTGTTTTCATCCATTTGACGTCATCTACAAGTTTAGCTACAGGAAATCATGAACTTCTAAGTCATTCATATTGTCGATTTGCATTAATACTGATATCAGAGAGAAACTTGAGAGTGGACATCCTGGCATTTTTCGTGTATCAAATTCATAGGATAATGTCCATGTTTTTATAGTTCTAATTTCTATACTATTACGTGGGTTATAATCAGTTGATTGTTCATCTTTGCCCAACATATAGTATAGAAGAGATTCGCAGAAACGTGAACATTACTATGAGGTTTGATACACAAAAAAGCAGGGATGTACATCATCAGGTTTCCCTCTGTTGATATCAATTGATACAGATCGGGCAGTAGAAATTCAAATTAGAGATGATCAGTATGATACAGAAATAGAATGAAATAATTCTAAAAATTTAGAATCTATTTCACTCTATGTCTGTGTTATACTGATCATCTCTAACTTCTACCAGAGAGAAACCTGAGTGGACACCTTGGCCTTTTTCAAAAACCAAGTTTTTCTCTCTGCTTCTACTGCCGTATTAATTAAATTGGTTCGTATCAATTAAAATCAATGCGTATCGACAATATGGATGGATGATTTAGAAGTTCGTGATACAGATAAACTTGTAGATGGCGTTAAACAGATAGAAACAAGTAGAAACAAGTATTCTCTCCCTGGAAGTAATCAAAAGGGGGCGTCGAGTAGCTGCGTGCGTAGCACGCTTGACTTGACCGGCTCGATTCGTGATTTTCCGTTCCGGGTTTAATTCCAGACGTTCCGCATATCGCGGTTTTTCCGCGCTGTTTACGAGAGTATTGATTAAGTAGGAAGGCTTAAGCCGTTGTGAAAATTGAAAAGTTTAAGCCCGTTGTCAATGTAAAATAATGTTGAAAAAGAGGAAATTCGATTTTGTGGTATACTGTAGTAGTCTGTTCTGATAACTTCGTGTCATATAATCTTAACTGAATAGGTTGAACACACGTTAATTCGCCGAAAATTAACAAGAAAAAAAAAGTAATAATCAAAATAATATCTATCTTTTCAACATGTTATTAATGTATTTTATAAAATGTTCACCTTTTGTAATGCTTAATTTATTCATTGAAGATTTCAGTGGAAAATCTATATCATGCTTTAAACTTTTTTTTTAATAATTACTTTCCATTATCCTGCATAGACAAAATATAACAAAGATATTATGTTGCAAATCGTATGTAACATCATATAACGTTATAATTGGATAACTAATTTATATATTATATATAGGTACATAATAAAGATTCTCGATTCTTTTTTATATCTGAATGTAACATTTCTTAAATACGAAGAAGATAACAATTGTCTCATGACAGATAAAAGTTACCAAAAATTTGAGCAAGATATAAATTATTATCCACTGCCAGATATTTTAGATAATAACATATTTGTATATTTTTATCAAATATGACTTTCCTCAGGTGAAAAGCCGCATCAATGCGAGATATGCAAAAAGAGGTTCAGCTCGACTTCAAACCTAAAGACCCACCTTAGACTGCACTCCGGTCAAAAGCCGTATGCCTGCGACCTTTGCCCTGCCAAGTTTACCCAATTCGTTCACTTGAAACTGCACAAGAGGTTACACACAAATGAACGACCCTACACCTGCCAAGGTTGCGATAAAAAATACATTAGTGCAAGCGGCCTCAGGACCCACTGGAAGACAACGAGCTGCAGACCAAATAACATCGAGGACGAGCTCGCGCTCGCCGCAGCTGTGGGTTCGCCGACGTATTACGAGTATGGCCCTGATATGAATGTTGGTAAGTATGAACTCTCAACAAGAGTACAATAAAAAAAGAAATTGCTTATATTTGATTGATGCACATTGTTAAGATAATCGTGAAGAAAATCCATTAAAACATCAATCAACTAGTCAATATATTTAAAATCTCAGAAAAAATTGCCCAATTATTTCAAAGCAGAATATGCTTGGCATTAGATAAGAAGATAAGGATAACACTGGATTCTTGCAGGAAATATGCCCAAGGAATGTGAGTTGGAGCACATTGATAATTACGATAGGCATGGATCGACACATGGTCCACACTCCACGTCCCTCCACAACCTGGAAAATTCTGTGGGTCGACCAAGCGTCATAGAAACGTCCCAGCCGCACATTATTGAGTGTACATAAGTACATTACAATGTTACATAAATACATAAGTCACATGGTGGGGTATGAGCCCCCTTCTGCTCGAACGCAAAATACAATTGTGGAAACGTAAGAGAATTGCTCGCGGCAAAAAAGAGAATGAACATGGGAGCTTTCTTTCTCTGGAATGGCAGTAAAAAACAGAGCTTTCGCAATAGTGTTTCATGGGAAATCTTCGTAAAGTCTTTTTAATTTCGATGAAATATTTTGGTTGATTTTTAAAATGATTTTTATGATAAAATAATTTTTATAGGTTTCTATTAATATTTTCTATTAATTTTGTTTTTATTACATTCATTATTATTAATTATTATAATTTCGAATTGTTAGAATAACTTCGAAAGTTAAACTTGAATGATATTAGAAATAAAGAAAATATTCTAGATTTTAATCATTTAATTTAATTAATTTTTCTACGGCCATATTTCATCAAAATTTTAGACGATTTATGAATAATTTCTCAAAATAATAAGAGAATGCGGAAGAAGATTGTAATCAATCCATAAAATGATTGATCATCGTTAATTGCACAATAGAAGTTTAATCGATTGATCAACAACCGCCTAATTTTTTAGCGGACACTTTAAACTTTGTTGCTTTAATATCGAAGACGATATGAAAAAAAGGAAGATGGATTTTTTTTGTAGGAAAGCTGACGAAGTTCTGTCTAGAAACGCGCATAAAGTTCCTTCCTTGTAAATTATCCTTGTAAATACTCGTTTCTATATTTTTTCTATCGTAGCGTTATCAACGAAAGGGAGAATGGTGTTCGAAATAATTAAGTTTAATCGCTTGATAAGATCGTAATACTGTCATTTCAGGAGAAATAGAAAGAATGGTCGCAACGATACCAAAATCGGGTTTCTCGATTACTCTTCCACGATGCATTTTGGAATTGCACGTCGAAGACACACCATAATGATACAATGAATTTCCAATAACTCAAATTAATTTACATAAAAGGCTTCCAGTTGAAGCTTAAAAAGTAATTTTTTTACATTCTTTACATCAAAATTTTTTTTACATTTCACAAAAATACCTGTATGTGCAAAAAATATATTACTGCTTTTTAATCCATTCAACAACACATATGATGCAGAAATTTAATATTGGAAGTTATTAAAAAAAATTATTTCAATTTTGCAAAAATTAAGAGTTGAAAGTGCAAGAAAGATTAATTTCAAATAACATGGTTTTAACACTTTTGTGGGACTTGAAGTATTTTCCGATAAATTAGCTTAAAATACGTCAGGTTTCCGAGAAAATTGAAATTAAATGCGTCAAAATTGGTAATTTTTGCTATGTTTACCACATTTTTTGCGGCCAAAATAAATTTTTTTTCAATTTTATTTACGCCACTTTAAAGCTTTATCTTTTATCTATAAAATAAATTTATAATTATTACAGTATGATTTTCTTCATATGCATAATTAATATATTATAAATGATTAAGTTAAATAGATAATGTGATTATTACTATTTATAAATGTGTAAAATGTAAGTACATGAATTATAATGGTAATAAACAATTTCATGGGATAGTTAAGAGTGCCAAAATGCGTGACTACGTTCCTGTCCAGTAAAAATATTTGGAAATGTAATTACGTCAGTTGGAATCTCTGACAGTACGAATTATAGTAATTGTACCGTGATAAAAATATAAATTTACTTCATACATAAGTAAAAGATAGCACTTTAAAGTGGCGCAATCGAAGTTGAAAAAAAAAACTTTGTTCGCAAAAAAGTATCGATAATAAATATAGCCAAAATTATCAATTTTGGCACATTTAATCTTAATTTTCTCAAAAACTTGTATTAAGCCAATTCTGTGTAATTGTATTTGTTTTCAGCGAACAAAAATCCATGGAAAAGACGCTTTATTTATTCAGATTCCTCAACAAAGATTTATTTTTGTATAACTGTGTAAGAATACTTTTAGAAGATCGCAATGATCATGGCGTTAATTACATTGCAAAAACTAACTTTAAATGCATTGCAGGTATAATTCTTAAAACGAAATTTCGTGCGGTCTTCGACGTGCTTTTTACGACCGACCTAAAATTTTAGGCTGGTATGTAAAATGGCGGATTTTGTCGGCACCCGTCATAATTAACGTTCGCATAATAGTGAACGCTAAATAACAAGGAGCAACAAGAAAGACTCGAACAACTAGTGACGACACGACTGCAACTATACGAGACCTGTACCTGTACATATATATATTAATATTATTATTATTACTTATTCGATAATTTAAAAAAAAAGTAATATAAGGAGCTCTAATTTATGAATACCTTTATACATATAAATATATATACCTATATATGTGTATATACATCCGTGTGTACACATGTATATGCGTATATGTACTTGCGTGTATACGCACATACATGCGTGCATATCGTCGTCATTGGTTGGCGGACGGTAGACTGCGCTTTATGTTAACTTTTGCGAAATAAATTTTATTAGAGATTTCATTAATAATATTAATTTATTGACGCGTGTATAAAAATACGTTGAAACTGTCGGCGTGCGCTTCTATTATACTCGTATAAGAATGTTCAAAACACGAGCGGCACACAACTTTGTTAGCACTTTGAAAGTGTCCTTTTGTTTTAGCATTCTTAAGCAAAAAATTCTAGATTTACGGTAATGAGATCGTTAATATTTATCAAAATTTTACGTCGAGAATTTTGTATAGTAGATTATAGTGTAATTACGATAACGAGATTTCGCTTTTCTCGGATTTTAATCGCGATAAAAGTAATAGTACATGTGAATCGTGCACTGAAATTTTTGATCGCGTTTATTTGCATATTATTTCGATCCTCCATTAATATTATATACTATATACATACTTATTGTTACTGTCTTTATTAGCATCCATGTTTGAGCATGTTTCTATTTATTTCAGCTATGCTGAACTTTTCTTTAACGCCCATTAATTTAAACAAAAACATATTTTGTATAAATTATAAGTTTTGATCGCAAAGACAATTCTTTTCATTGTACATTTCGATGAAGATATCCATAGCTTTAAATGATCAAAATTTAAAAGTGGAGAGGACAATCGTCTGTATAAATCAGAAATTATGATAGAAAATCTAGTCAAAATGTCTTGAAAAAAATACTAGTGCAATTACGAATTTTTCTTAAGAAAAATATGTATTTCAAAGTCGAATAAAATCTTCGCAGCAATGATTATCAAATATTACGTGCGCGAATCGATTCTTCGATCACATTGTGCTTCCTATACATAGCACAGAAAGTAAAAGTTAGAATTAACAAATCGTCGAAAATACTATTCTTCTTTCTTGTAGCTTCCATTAATTTATTCGGCGAATTCATAACTTCCATTAATGCTAAGCTAGGTCGAACGAGTTAATTCTAAGCGCAGCTTACCGTACGTGATGCGAAACAATTCACTTTTTACTGAGGGACGACTCCAGGGTTTCGTCATCGGAAAGTACGGGGACGAGAGACTTTTTTTTAACAGACGATACGAATTTTTAAACAAGATCGAGAACCTTCGAGTCGTCATTCTGTAAAGATATTAATCTAAAGGACGTATCGCAGACTGATATACACATGGCTATCGAGCGTTTGTGAGATTTTAAAGAGTAACGTGCATCGCGATACGATTCCGTGCGAAGCGAGAGAGAAAGGGGAAAAAAGAGTGAAAGAGAGTGTGCGAGAGCGAGAGTGTGCGATTTTCAAGGATGCAGGAGTGTGTTACATTATCATTCTAAATTTCGGTTTTCTTCGCAAGATCCTCCGAGGCTTCGGTTCCGCAAAAATCTCTCCCTTGCGTCCAACGTTGCGACGCTAAACAATTTTGAATCCAAAGAAATCCATTTTTTTAACTGAATCCTTTCAGGACGTAGCAGGAATACGCGATCACCATATTCATCATTCACCCTTATGCCGAAACCGCGGTGCTCGCGTGCGAGATCTTTACGAAACTGATGATCCTCGTTTCTCCACTCCGAAAATTATTATACCTATTACCCTCATATTATTCACTACCTGCCTGCCGGGCATTATTGAGCGAAGAATCCTTCCTCGATTATCCCGGCAATTATACCGTAATAAGTTTAATGAGCGTTCAAAGTGGACTCGCAAATGATGTATTGTATTATAGATTCACAAGGCCTTTATACTGATTTGCTGATATCTTTTTAATAATCAGGCAACGTGGACGATTCGTGGGAATTCTACGGAATGTCGAGTAATGAAAAAGTCTGTACAATGTAACCTATGTTATAGCACTAGTAGAGATACTAGAGATTACAACTCCAGGAACTCCTCGAATGTTCTATGAGAGATTTGTGCGGGTGTTCTCAGTGTCAATCTGTGAGGCGTTCATTTTATAGAATGACACTGGAAGCATAAAAGATGAGAAGCGATATAGAAGCGATCTAGGAAACATTTTTATTCGGATTTTTATTCTCGTTATACAATATCACATTGCAAGCAATAATAAAAATTCCTTTGGTGATATCAGTCGCGGTTCCTGGTGACGTTCTTCACGATCGAATGTCATTCTGTACATTGTCTCGATTCCCCACCTTGCCTATATTTTGAGAACACTATTATGAATAACGAAGTTATTTATATTACTATAAAAAACGGAGCTAGAGGAGAAATCTAGGCACTTAGGATTTTGAAAAGCTAATAATGAGACGTTGAGAATGAGAAAAAAGGGAGTAGCACACGGCACAGCGAGTAAAAAGGCAAACGGTGAAGACCATGTAAATACATACGCTGAAAGTAGTGAAATAACGAGGGAGCGACAAGCGAGAGCGATTAATCGCCTCGAAAACAAATAAGCAATATTTAGTTCTTATCATCTCGTAATAATTAAACGATAACGATCCAACTGTACTGTGCACGCACACGCGCACGTACGCGTGCACGCGCTCGTACGTATTTAAACGACTATAAATTAAATGTTAATTATCCTTACACTTCGTATACATATATAAATATATATATATATATATAGTGAAATTGTTACGCATTTATTATCATTATAATTATTGAATAGGTAATGCTCAATTAGCATTTGTTTCTTAAAATAAAGAATAAATATATGGCTGTTGGATATTTATATGCACATATCACTTC